GGGGAGGAGAGAGACTGTGTGTCTGTGTGTGAGAGAGCGGGGAGGAGAGAGACTGTGTGTGTGTGTGTGTGTGTGTGTGTGTGTGTGTGTGCGAGAGAGTGGGGAGGAGAGACGCTGTTTGTGTGTGTGTGAGAGAGTGGGGAGGAGAGAGGCTGTGTGTGTGTGTGTGAGAGTGGGGAGGAGAGACGCTGTTTGTGTGTGGGTGTGTGTGTGTGTGTGTGAGAGAGTGGGGAGTAGAGAGGCTGTGTGTGTCTGTATGTGAGAGAGCGGGGAGGAGAGAGACTGTTTGTGTGTGTTTTTGGGAGTCGGAGGGGTTGTGTCACCTTTGGTGTGGCTTGAACTCAGTTCCCAGTTGAGGCCGTCCTCATGGGTACCGAACTTGGCTTTCGGCCTCTGCTGAGCGTCTCTGTGTTGTTGTGTGTCCCGAAGTCCACATTGGAAGACGTTTACCTGTAAGTCCGAGGCTGAATGTCCTTGGCCGCTGAAGTGTTCCTCCCCACTGTGAGGGAACATCCCTGTGTGGTGACTGCTGCGCGGTTATTGTCCGCAGAATGTTTTCGCAATGCACAGGATTCTGCATGCTGAGAGATGGAACTCCTCATAAATGAATCCAGCTGTTCAGCATAATATATTATGTGTTCACATTCACTGGATATTTCCACACGACTGAAAAGGGATCCAGTACAAGCATATGATGAAAGGGATGTTCAGATACTGAAGCAGTTCCAGAAACAGGCTCAAGAGTGTGGTTAAGAACCTGATGCAAACCTGCCAGTCCTGAAATATAGGTGGAATGAGAAGAAAAGTCTCTCCTGCATGTTTTTGTTAGTTTTAGAATAGAATAGAACCTCTACAGTGTGGAAACAGGCCATTCAGCCCATCGAGTCCACACCAATCCAACAAAGAGCATCCCACCCAGTCCCACAGCCTTTTCCTACCCCTGTAACCCTGCATTTCCCTTGGCTAATCTACCTAGCCTGCACATCCCTGGACACTATGGCCAATTTAGCATGGCCAATCCACCCTAACCTGCACGTCTTTGGCCTGTGGGAGGAAACCGGAGGACAGCACCCACACAGAGACGGGGAGAACTTGCAAACTGTACACAGACAGTCACCCGAGGGTCGATTTGAACTGGGCAGCAGTGCTAACCACTGAGCCACCGTGCCGCCCCAATTGTGCGACCTATGTATGTACCTCGAATCAATAAACTCTTGATAATTTCTTTTTAAATGACAGAGCCATGTACTATCACTTTAAGTGCTGAATACATATTGTCCAAACCAGCAAGAATGTAGTCTTCCTTTAAAAAGACACTGAGGTGCACCAAATAATAAATAATGGCATGCTTCTCAATAGTACGATCCAACTGATTGTCCTTTAGGACTACAAGTGTTGAATCATGATTGAATCTGCCTCAAAGAAGCTTGTTTTCAGTGAGAACTGGGAGACAGCTGAGAATCATTGGCTTTCTACAAATTTCAGCATTTCCACATCAAACCATATGAAGGGGAGGCTGCGTGTTTAGGATTTGAGAAAGGACTTTATCCCATGTTTGGTCAAGTAATTCAGGCCATGAGCTCCCGTAGTGTTGCTGGAGTAATAATTCCTGTGAAGCACGTTTAAATTTTTGGCTCTTTGATTCGCCGCAACTGAAAATGTTAGTTTTGTAATTCTTCAAGGAGGCGGTGTGATTGATTTGAAGTATACCAGAATGAGCAATGTTGAGCGGAACTCATGAAATTATGTAAAAGTATTGAATGGTTTATCAAAAGTAAATGCTAATTAACACCTCGACTGCGTTGTGATGAAATGGGTTTCTAAATTTAGAATAGAAATCAGAAATGCCTTCACTCAAAGGCAGACAGCTCAGATAACCAAGTCCATTCAGTACGTGTACACAGTGGAGTCAAATGAGTATCTGGAAGATTAAATGTTAAGAAAGAGAAAACAAATGGAAGCAATATAGTCATTTGTAATCTAGGAAAAACATGTTGGTTGTTCACAGTTACCTCCTGAGTCAAGACGTTCTGAATTTAGTTCCCCATCCAGAAACTTGAACACAGAAACCGAGAATGATGCTGCAGTGTTGCATTGTCGGAGGAGATGCCTTTCAGATTAAACTGAGGCCAGGTATGCACTCTGATGTGCATGTAAGAGACCCCATTTTGAAGAAAATTGAGGGAGTGGTATAGGGCCAATATTGATCTCATCCCATATCTTCAGAACAGATTATCATTATTAAATTTCTGTCTGTGAGAGCTTGCTGTGTTTTCCCATATTACAACAGTGACTACAGGGAAGATGATGGCCTAGTGGTATTTTTGCTGGACTGTTAATCCAGAGACCCAGACAATGTTCTGGGAATCTGGGTTCAAATCCCACCGCAGCAGATGGTGGAATTTGAATTCACAAAAAAATCTGGAAATAGATCTATTTTTCGATTGTTGGAAAAACCCATCTGGTTCACTTATGTCAATTAGGGAAGGAAACTGCCACCCTTTCCTGGTCTGGCTTACATCTGCCTCTAGACCCACAGCAATGTGGTTGACTCTTAACTGTCATCTGGGCAATTAGGGATGGGCAATAAATGCTGGCCTGGCCAGCGCCACCCTCATCCCGTGAATGAATAAAAAAAAATCAGAACTGGCTTTGGATATTGTCTAAGGTGCTTTATAAACGTTAATTAAAACAGCATCAACTTTGCACACAACAAGCAGGCATATCCAGCAATATGGTAGTAATTAGTTAATCTCTTGAAGAGATGGTAGTTATGAGATAAAGATTGGCATGCAGACAGGGGAGAACACCCCTGCCGCTTTTTGAAATAATGTTATGAGATGCTTTACAACCACCTGAAAGAGCAGATGGGGCCACAGATTACTGCAGTAAGAGTGTAGTATTCCCTCAGACTTGCACTAGATTGTTTGCCTAGATTTCGTGCTGAAGTTGCTGGAATTGGACATGAGCGCACAGCCTCCTGGCTCAGAGACAAGATTGCTACCCACTGGGCTGCAGCTGACAAGCCTGGGAATGGGAACCAGCTGGAAATGACAGATTCCAGGGCACAGGAAACGACAAGTCTTGGATCCTGTTGCAAGGTTGGAGTTCCCGTCCTTTACATTATTGGTTGCTGTAAGTGACAGGAGTTTTGGGGTTTTACCACTAACGAAGGCAGTCATGATAAAACTATTGTGGTGTGTGTTTGTTTCGTATAAACAGCGTGGAATGCAGTGTGCTGTACCATTCCAGGATGCCCATCTGTGGAGGCGTTAATGTCGTTCACATGTTGTCAGATATTCCTCTTTGTTTCTGGTCTAATCATAGTCCTCATTAAGATCGAAAACAGAGTGTTGAAATCGAGAATCAAATCTTACTTCAGTAAATCTGCTACAATTTGGTTATGTGCCAGTGGATTTTTTTCACTGATTAGCTGGCTTCTTGTCTTCGTTAATAGGTGACATAATTCTGTTTGATTTCAGCTGTGACAGGGTTGTATTCCGATGTTCTCTCAGTCTGCTGGGAAGTTCAGACAATGAAATGGAACCGATACTTACCAAAGCGGAATGCCAAAAAATGTGTTTCACAGTGAGGGAAAACCGAAACTTTCAAAACCAGTCAGGCAGCTTGTTTTCGTATAGTTCAGGTTGCAAATTCGGATACAAAGAGATAGAGGTGGGTGTAACACAGTCCAACATTGGTGAAAATAAAAACAGGCCAATAGTGGATTGAAGGGAGCAAATTGAATGAAAGTTTTAAGAAGAGAGGAGGAAATAGGAGCAGGAGTGGTCCGTGCAGCCCCTTGACCCTGCTTCATCATTCAGCTAGATCATGATTTCTTATACTATCCTCCCATCCCTTGATATATTTAAAATTTAGAAATCTCTATTTCGAACTTAGTCAATGACTGTGTGTCCACAGCCCTCTGGAGTAGAGAATTCCAAAATTTCATATCCTCCGAGAGAAGGGGTCGCAGAATGGCTAGTATTGCTGCCTCACAGCGACCGGGACCTGGATTTGATCATGCCCTCAGGCAATTGGAGTTAGCATATTCTCCCTGTGTCTGCGTGGGTTTCCTCCTGGTGCTCTGGTTTCCTCCCACAGTCCAAAGGTGTGCAAGTTAGGTGGGTTAGCCTTGGGAAATGCAGGGTCTCTGGCATAGGGTTGAGCGGATGAGTCTGGGTGGGATGCTCTTTGATGGGTCAGTGTGGACACGATGGGCTGAATGGCCTGCTTCCACACTGTAGGGATTCTATAATTCTAAGAAATTCCTCCTCGTCTCAGTCCTTAAATGGTCTCCCCTTTTAAACCCACCAGTCCTCACAGTCAAGGATACATTGTTCCTGCATCAACCTTGTCGAGCCCTGTCAGAGTATTTTTTTTAATGTTTCAATGAGATCAATTCTCATTTATCTAAGCTGTAGTGATTATGTCTTCAACCTTCCACAGAGCACAGTGCCACAGTCACAGAGATCAGTCTGACTGCTCATTGTTCTCCCTCTATGGCAACTATATCCTTCCTTAGGTCAGTTGGACAAAACTGTTATGCCATCATTTAAGTGCGTAAATGAAGACAGAGTTAATATTTCAAATCCTATATGACTTCTTCAGAACTCAAGTTAACTCTGTTTCTCCCTCCACAGAAACCTACAGAGTTTCTCCAGCACTTTCAGTATTTTTTTTTTTCAGATTTTCAGGGTAGGCAGCATTTTGCTTTTACTCTGTGTGGTTTGGCAAGGCTCTATATAAATGCAGCAAGATTTCCTTACTACTGTTCTCAAATTCTCTTCCAAGAATAGCTAACATGCCAGTTCCCTTCCTGATTACCTGCTGCACCTACATGTTAGCTTTAAGTGGCTTATGAGCAAGGGTACCCAAGTCCTTTTGGACATCAACACTTCCTAATCTCTCGCCACTTAAACAAATACTAATTTTTGATTTTCCACATTATGTTTCATCTGCCACATTCTTGGCTACTAACTCAGTCTATCCAAATCCCCTCGAAACCTCTTTGCATCTCAGAACTCACATTTCCACCTAATATTGCATCATCCACAAACTTGGAAATATTGCATTTGATCTACACGGCTAGAGATTTTCTAATCTACCTGTTACTGTTACACCTCTGGAGCTGGTGGGAATTGAACACGGGCCTCCTGGCTCAGAGCTAAGGACCCTATTACTATGGGACAAGAGCCCCTTGGTCACCACGTCTAACTTTTCAAAATTTTTTCCTGAATAGTACCTTCCACCTTAGGATTATTTTATGGTTGTACTCAATTGTCATGTATTTTCTAATCAACATGCTCAGAGATGGTATTACACACCTCTGGAGCAGGTGGGACTTGAACCCAGGGCTTCTGGCTCAAAGGTAAGGATACAGCCACTGTGCCACAAGAGAGCTTTGATCTCTACATCTAATTCATTGATCTAGATTATGAATGGTTGGGAACCATTAATTGATCCTTGTGATAAGTCCAGTAATCATTGCATGACTACCTGAGAATGACCTGTTTATTCTTACTGTCTTTTATCCATCTACTGAATAATGTGGGTCAGAAAAGTATACATCCAGTGATTACTCTTTATAACCAATTAGTCTGTTTTTATCCTGCCTACTTAGAAATACACTTTTGTAAATTGGATTAGTTAAATTCAATGCAGAAACACAGAAGCTGTGCAAGATCTGTGAGCCACACATGCCAAACCTCTTGCTCTATCTTTTGCTTTGCAGTTCACCTCCGATTTGAAGAAGCATCCGGAAGTACTGAATGCCTCCGACAGTGACATAATCAGGAACTTTATCAACAGCAACTTCTCCATGCCAAACTCCAGCACGCTGCTCCAACAGCTGGACACCATTGACAATGCAGCCTGTGGCTGGATCCAGTTCATGTCCAAGGTTAGAATGCCAGAAGTGGCTTAAACTCACAGGCCCGGTGTACAGAACTTTGCCAACAATCTCGTTTCCTGGAATCATCTGTGCTGATTTAGTTTTGGCGATGGACACAGCACAGTAGTCTGTGCAGTTATAAAAGCGATGAGTCGTTTTAACTCACCTAGAAAAAAGATTATTGCTTTAATGTGTGTTGGCATGTAGAACCAGAGAACGTTGATGGAAATGAGTGTAGGAAAAAGGACAGATTTGTCCTGATCTATTTGGGAATATTTATTGAAAAGGTTCATAATTAAAATATACTTCCAAGTAAAATGGAAACATGAGGTTGTTTAAAACACATTGGAGACCAATGGCGAAAATAGTTCAGTATAGGTGATCTTTTGGGTAATATGACCTTTGTAAATGCTGATTTTTTTTTTTCTTCTTAGCTACCTTTCTATATTTATTTAGTTTTGACAGATACGTTATCTCACATCTCTGATCACATATTAAACTCCTACACAAGACAGCAGATATGTACCTAGTTCAATGCTGTTACCAGTGCGGCTTGTAATCAGCTGATCAACACTCAAGTGCACTCAGAGATGACTTTACTAGTCTTCCCTCCTGCATCTCTCTGTGGAGAGTCCCTGTCCTCGGCTCATTGTTCAGTGATTTTCCTGAAGATAGGATTAGTCTATTCAACCTTTGTTTACTCTCAGAAATGGACCATTTATGCCTGTAAATCGTTTGTCAAAGATATTCAGAGTTCAAGGGCTGGTAAGGTTTAGTAGCAATTGAGACTGGGATTTAGTTTTAATGTTGGTTTTGATTTGTTGCCATTATATTGGTAATTTTGATAACTTTGTTCTTTTCTACAGGTGAGTGTGGACATCTTTAAGGGCTTCCCCAATGAGGAGAGCATAGTGAACTACACCTTAAGCCAGGCATATCAGGACAATGTCACAGTATTTGCCAGTGAGTAAAGTAGTAACTGATTTTTATTGTTCTCTAATTTGTTTAAAAAATGATTATAACAAGAAGTAAATATTTCTGTCCTCCCCATGATATGGTATCATGTTGATATTTACACTCCTAGGAAGGCAAACCTCCTTTTATACTGATTGAAATGAAGTCAACCAGGTGGATCTCATAGAATATGAGTTCCCTGATTGGGTTGTGAATCATAGAATCCCTACAGTGTGGAAACAGGCTTTTCGGCCCAACAAGTCCACACCGACCCTTGGAGCATCCCACCCAGACCCATCCCCCTATAACCCACACACCCCTGAACACTATGGGCGTATTAGCATGGCCAATCCACCTAGCCTGCACGTCTTTGGACTGAGAGAGGAAACCGGAGCACCCGAGGAAACCCATGCAGACACGGGGAGAATGTGCAAACTCCGCACAGACATTTGCCTGAGGCTGGAATCGAACCCGGGTCCCTGGCACTGTGAGGCGCTAATAAAGAAGGCTTCACCTAGACTTGAACTCGGATCACAGGGTTCAGAAACCAGCGCGCTCACCACTACACTATGGCAACCACAGTCTGGGCCAATCAGCGACCCTGGCTGAAGGATATAAACAGGAGTGTCAAAGGTTCTGTTCACTCTAGAGGCTGGCTGTGAGCTAGCTTGGGTCAGTGTCATGTACTAGGCGTGTGTAAATAAAGGGTGACTTGGTGATGGGATACCAGCCTTTGTGGAGTTATTTCACCTCTAGCCCATGATTTTGTCATCTTTATTCTTTCACAGGATTCTAGCATTGTTGGCAACGCTAGCTTGTTTTGCCCGTCCCTAATTCCCCTTGAGCTAAGTGGCTCGTTAGGCCATCTCAGAAGGCAGTTAAAGACTCAGTCATATTGGTGGAGTTTCTGGAGTCCTGTGTATGACAAACCAGGCGAGGAGGGCAGATTTCTTTCTCTGAAGGGCATTAGTGAAGCAGATGGGATTTTAAACAATCAATGACATCTATCGTAGCCAACATTACTAATCATTTATCTGTTACATATTTATTTTTAATTAATAAAGTTCAA